ACCCGCCTCTTCTGCTAGTAGAGTCATTGTTTCTGGCGAGAGATTATAATTCATAATAATACTTGGATATAATGATGCGAAATCTAAACCCATAACAGGACGTTTGTTTTCTAGACCCTTATCTGGGGGGAATACATAGGCTCCAGGAAATGTTCCTTTTTCTGTCCGTTCGGAAGAAATCAAAGTAATTAATATATCTCTTTTCCACGCTTCGGCACCCAATAGATTACATACCTTCATACCCCCTGCATAGTAATGTGAATCGAATAAAGAAACATATGCAATTGAGGCCACTTCTCTGTAATCATTTATTACATTTCTCTTAACCATAAGTTCTTGACAACTTAAAGCATCTTTAATACAATATTTAGCAATTTTACGTATATTTTCAGCGGTCTCGAGTGAGATATTCTCCTTGCTTCGTGTGTAATATTCCCTCATAACTTTTATAGATAAATCTATTTTACTATCAAGACCATGCATTTCTAAGAAATAGTTGAGCGATTTTTTCTTAGATTTTGGATAAAGTTTTTTAAAGCATACTACAGCATCAATTGGAACGCATCCTGGGATTTTAAGGAAAGTAGATATGAAACCTTCTTCTGGAGTGATCTTGATTTCAACTCCTTCCCGATTCTTTATCTTTTTGCTATCCTTGTTTTCTTTTTTGGAAGATCCCCATGATTGCTCTTTGTGAAAGAAATCTTTATAGAAAGGCTCACCTACCCCCCATAATAATTCCAACGAAGGATGCTATCGATTGTAGCCTTTTTACATGGATTTGCTGACATTTTTGTTAACATTCAATCCAAAATTTTCTATTGAGTAGCTCTTTCTACTACAAATGGCCAGTCATACTTGAAACCATTAAAAGTGAGTTCGATATCAGGAGCTAAAGCCTGCCAATATAAAGCAAATGCTTTTAATAGATTTTTCTTATTTCTACACATGATTGTAATCCAATTTGGGTCCTGTGTACTTTCAATGTCAACAAGGCAGATTTGTTTCAATGGCTTTGGATCGTCTTTCCAATGAACAGTAATACAAATCATAAATATGTTATCTTCTTTATATCTCGCATAGGGCATGTGTTCTAACCCACGCGTTGAATGTATTTCAATATCTCAAGCAAGGATTAATGCTTGGTCTTGAGTAATAAGCTGAGAAGAGTAGGTCCTATATAATACTGCAGGATCCTCAACATGGCAAAAATTATTAACAGATAAATAAAAAGCATGTTCACAAAGAGGTGAATGGGCACTATAAGGCATTCTATGGCTATTATATGAGTCGGAGACTCTATGCTTCGCATATTTGTAATTAGTTAATAAAATCCATCTAGAGAGTGGAATCCTATATTCTCTAGCAACTTTTCGGTAGTATGCACTCAAATCATCTGAGGCGGTTTCCAGCTTAGATTTATCTATATCGGATGATGTAATTTCTGAATTATAATTTAGGATAATATTAAGAGCGATTGATCTTTGTTTACTAGTAGTTGTAATAATACGAACATAGAGTTTTTTTTCTTTGTAATAACCGCGAATAGGAAATGCCTTTATATGTTCTGTCTGGAGTTCTGTCATATCTACAGTTCCCCCTTCGCCATCTTTTCCATTGGCAATAATATTTTTTATTTCAGTTTCGAATATATCAATATTTTGGTTATCGGGAACACGAATATCGAATAAAACTTTTATACCAGAAAATGTAACTACAGCTTTTTGGCTATTAACAAGATAACCGTAAAGTCGTAAAACATAGTATGGGGTATTATTTATATACTCATTATATTCCTCTATGTCACAAGGCATAAATGAGATATCTTTCCTAATAATTAAATCCTGATTAATAGTCGCTGTTGATCCATAGTCATCATTTTTAGCAATTATCACATTGCGACTCGGATGGGTTAGTAAATATTCTTCTTCATTGTAGTAAAATACCTGGCTTTCCTTCTTACTTTCTGAAATCTTTGATTAAGGAAAAGCTCTAAACCCCCAGAAGTAGAATGCCCCATTATTTTCTTCTGGCTCGGGTTCGAATTCTGGCTCGAAATTCTCCGAGTTATCCACAGTTGGTGTATCAGGTACAATAGGCATGCTATGTTCATTTTGATTACTCATGTTTTTTCTGAAAGAATATTATTCAGAATTAAAAAGTTCAAAATGAAAATTAATTCTAAAGAATATTAATCAATACATATTATATACTCAATCGAGATAAATATCAAAAAGAATGGCATTTTATCGTTGTCCCTATATCCTTAGAACTGGTGAAGTCTGTAATCGGCCATGTTATCATCCCAATGGGTGTAAAGTTCACCGGGATTCACCTATTCGTTATCCTTGCAAAGAATATGGTTGTGTTAAGTTAACTAATTCTGGTTATGGTTATTGTGATACTCATGTGCAGAAACATCGTAGAAGAGAGTATAGGCATCAGAAAAAGCTGGAGAAGGTGGCAGAAAAAAATACATAGTATGAAGGTGTATGTTGGGGGGTCGCGTCCACTTTTTCTTGGACGAATTTTTTCTTGAACAAATTTCTTGGATGAAAAAAGATAGCTAGTTAATATTTTTTTCATCGAAAGAAAAGGTTTTAGACTAGTCGTCCAGGTTGTCCAGGTTGTCTAGATAAATTTTCAATCTTCTTACTTTTATATTTTTTATCTATGTGTATAGAACATATGCATAGATATGTATATAGCGTATATGTACCAAAGATATGATATATAGCGTATACAATAGAAAAGAGTTTGATATTTTTTTCCTAGAATTCTATTTTTTACCTAAACAACTTAGACAAAAATAGAACAAGTATAGAAGAACAAGTTAAAACAAAAATAAACCGTTTTCTCCTATAATATTATTCGTCCAAGTTGGCATATTTTTACTTGGACGATACCTGGACGATATTTTTTTCTTGGATGTGAGCAGATTCATTTTAACCACATTCTAGGATAGCATTTGCGTAATATATTTGATAGCATGACCAGATAGTATATACCTGATAGCATACCTGATAGCATTTGTGTGATATATTTTGTATACATATTTGATAACATATATTCAATAACATGTCTCGATAACATAACTCGATAACATAATTGATAGCACTTGATAACATTTGTGTGATATATTTACCTCCACAAACGATATACAAATTGCAATCAGGTTGTCAAACTCGTGATAAGCCAACCCGGTAGCATAACCTACCTTAGCTATTTTATTGCAACAGAAATCAGTCGTCATCTCATTTTATCTCCGCTAATCCACCCATCAAACTCGCGATGAGGCCAACTAGGTAGCATAACCTACCTCAGATATTTTATTGTAATGGAAATCAGTCAGAATTACCATCCCGATATACAATAGTTTACATGATGACGGTGTCATATTTTTGTCGTCACGACACGTACCTAGCTCGTCATAACTTAAATCGGGAAGTGTCCTATATTTGAAATAAGTCATAGACATTAAACTGATATACTATGAAAATGTGTTATAAAATATAGATCACGACACTGACGATGGTGTTATATTTTTGTCGTCAAATTTTTTATAAATCATGGAGGTATCCAAGTGTGATGACGTGAACACAAATTCGTCGTCATATTTTTTATAGATCATGAGTACCTAAATATGACGATGAACTCATGAACCAATCATCACTCGAATAACGATGCAAGCGTGAATCATTCGTCACTCGAATGATGAAGCAAATACTAATATATCTCTGACGATGGTGACGCATTTCTGTCATCACAACACTGACGATGGTAATGCATTTCTGTCGTCATACCTGAGTGGGAATAACCTAGACTAAGTGGAAATAACATAATTATGTTATTTCCACTTCAGTAGGTTTACTTTGAGGATAGCTGTGTATCCGCTCAACAGAGAAATGCAAGCCAGTAATTAGTCCAGAATAAGTCATGGAAGTTCTAAGGCAGTGTATGCAATCTAGTAGAATGAGCCAGATAGTAGTTCCTGGGTTAGTATAATATGCTAAAAATGGTTAGAACTAGAAGATTTAAATGGGTAAATCCCTAGTTGGGTTATAGGTACAGCATCTAGTGTAGAACCTGTGAGTGAACCACTTAAATAGGCACTCAAAAAGTGTACGTGTAGCTAGTTGTATCTTTATTGTAACTGTAATAGCAAATGATTACTAATAAAGAGTTCCTATTGCCAAAGAGATTACCTTAAAAAATAAAAATAAAAATAAAAAATAAATCTATATTAAAACTTATTTTAGATACTAAATAAATTTATCTTAGATACCAAATGGACCTATCTTAGGTACCAAATAGACCTACTTTAGATACCAAATGGACCTATCTTAGATACCAAATAGACCTACTTTAGGTATTATATAGACCTACTTTAGTACTACTTAGGCTTATCTTAAGTACCAAATAGACTTATCTTAGATACCAGATAGACCTATCTTAGGTACCAAATGAACCTACCTTAGGTACAAAATTGATTTATTTTAGGTACAAAATAAACCCGGATTAGGTTCAAAATGTAACCGGATTAGGTTCAAAATAAACTCGGATTAGGTTCAAATAGACTCGGGTTTGAATATAGATTTAAAAATTGCTGGCAAAGTTATAGCAGTAAATTTCTCAATAACTACTAATCCGATTTGGATGAAATTTTTATAGTAGTTAGATAAGGTATTGAACTATAGCTTATAAATTTTTTGCCAATTTGGATATATAGTTCTTGAGCAATTGCTTAAAAACTAAAATTAATTAGTAAAAAATAATTGTTTATCATTTTTTAGCAATTACTCTAGAACTATTAATTTAAATTAGTTGTAATTTGAATATGTTATAGCTAAATACCATATCTAATTGCTAGTAAAATTTGAATTAGTAGTTCTTAAATAATTGTTTAATATTTGTTTTTTTATTTTATTTTTTTTTTTATATTAAAGGTGAGGTCTTGCTCATATCTTTATTTAATAATTTATATAAGTGATTACATAAAGCTA